AGAGCCGCTCTCTAAAAACACTGGAAAACCCCACTTCGTAAAGGGAGAGGATGGGGAAGAACGCAAACAGCAAGCAAACACGGAAAACCCGTGAGACGGCTCCGTTAGTGCTTGTGGGGCCTCGGGGCCCAGGCCAGGGGAGGGTCTCAGCCCTCATCAAAACCCGTCCTGGTACCACCTGCCCCGTCGCCCTCACCTGCTGCCCCCGCCAGCCTTGTTTTTGATGAGCTGGGCCATGTCTGCAGGGATCCCTCTCAAAGCCAGGGCAGGTGCTGCCGTGCTGGGCACCCGCCGAGCCTCTTGGCGCCCCCGCCCCGGGGGAATCGCCTTTCTGCCATCCCGCTGATCCGCTCTGATCCCCTCCGATCCCGTTACCCTTCACCAGCACCTGCCCGCGGCAGCCCTGCCCGCACCGGAGCTCCCAGCGACCTCGCTGCCGTCTCACAGGGACCCCAGGGCACAAGCTGTGACCGTGACCCTGGGACCAGCGCTGCGTTAGAGGAAAATCCATTTTTACCGTGACTATCGTCCCCCACGCCAGCTGTGGGTCCAGTCGGCTTTACAAAAAACAATTTTTTGGACACCGTAAGGCCCGCTACCGGATTAGAGCCCATCAGCTTTTATAAAGCAAAGTTCAGACACTCTGTAAGGTTCTTTACCGTCGGCTTTTTAAAGTAAAGCACAAACCCACAAAGGCACAAGTAATGCAGTTTATTTATATGCAACACTTTCAGGTTGGTTTAGACTGCAAGCGATAAAAAACTACTAATACTACTGCAGAATGCCTATAGGAGTGTGTGCATGCATATAAACATATATATATATACACATATATATCTATTTGTGTATGTGTGTATATATATACGTATGCATATATATACATATATTTGCAATTACAGTCGGGAATTATCGGTGTCTGATTGGTCCTCAAATCAGTAAGAAATCGGGGTAACCTCTACAGCTTCTTACCTGCTCTTGCATAAAGCGATGGGGTGGGACTGTAGCCAGACTGTTACCGCTACCGACAGCGCACAAAACACTCCTTAGCTCTGAGCTGCCGCCTCCTGATAGCGCACAAATCCTCCTGATAAACATTCGTTAGCTCCGAGCACAAATCGCTCCGTAGCTCTGAGAAGAACTTTTGGCCGTTGCCTCACGCAGTCGAGCCGTCGGTTTTGTTTGCGGCCTGCGCCTCGCGTCACGTTCCTCCTCGGCGCTGCCTTGACCGCAGACCACCGGCTCTCCACCCGGCCCCCCCCGTTATTCCGGGCGCCAAACGATTTATCACGGCTCGTCAGCAACGTTTGAGCTTTGTGATTTTCCACTGCTTTGTGCGTCTAACGGCCCAGCCGTCTGGTGTGAGGGCAGAGACAGAGCTGCTTCTGCCTCTCTGAAGCTAGTTGAGCATTTCCTCCTGTCCTAAAGAGACACCCCAGAGAGTCCCTCAGCCACGAGCACCAGCACCCCTGGCACTAGCAGGCGCGAAGGCAGCTCCAAGGGCAAGACCCATGTCTGGAAACAGGACTCTAAAGGCTGATATTCTCCTGCCAGAAGGTGCTCTCAGTCTGTCACCTGGCTGAACATCTCCCCAGATAGGCTTTGACATCTGGATGCAACATCTGGAGGCCTTAGACAAACTCTGAGACAGGGAGGCATCAGAAGCAGCGTAAAGGGGCAGACAAGACCCAGGTCTGGTGGCTCTTTGCAGCCAGTGTCACTGCCCTCTCCTGGGAAGAGAAGCTGCACGGAAGAGCCCCGATGTTGGGAGTGAGGGAGCGGCACTGGAAGTCTGGATCCAAAAGGCCGGTTGCTCCCAGCCTTGTGAAATGCAAAGAACAGGTGAGAGGAGACACCCTCCTCTTTGCAGAGGGCAAAGCCAAACCTAAACTGGTGAGACGTGTCCTCACCCCACTGCTTCAATACGCCCCAACTCTGCGAGGCAGCCCCAGATGCTGAGAGCTCAGGGCTTAACGCAAAATTCATGCTTTTACTTGGAACAGCTCCGTGCCAGCAGGGTCGGCAGCTTTGCCAGGACGAGAAAAAGTACATTTTGTGCCTTATTTCTTGGTCTTTTTGCCCTTCCTGCCCTTGACCTTCTTCTTCTTCTTCTTCTTTTTTGACTTCAAGAGGGACCGGACCAAGTAACCTCTCCAGAAGGCCTGGATGCGTGTGGCAGCAAGGGTCATGGTGGTCAACTCCTTCAAAGCCTCTTCCTCCTTCTTCTGACGTGTCCTGCGCTCCTCCTCGATCTGGGAACACTCTTGGAGAAGCACAGCACGTTTCTCTGTCAGCAGGGCCAGCTGGGCCTTCTCCTCAGCGTAGGCAGCGCGAACCTCGTCGTACTCAGCCTAACGAGACAGCAGATACCAAGTGCAGCAATTTTGGGGACGTTTAGCAGCTCCTCCTTGCACATCCCCAGGTGAGGGCTCTTAAACCCATCCCGAAGCCAGGCAGAACCACTAGTGGGAGCTGAGCCGAGCATTTCCAAAGGGACCCAAGAAGGAGGCGTGCAACCTGGGGAATTTCATGAGATGCCAGGTCCTTCAGGCTCCTCTGAAAAATCCTCTCAGGATTCTCCCAGCGTTGCAAACAGCAACCACCCTCAGCTGGGAGCTCTCCTCAGGTCAGAGCCTCCTCTGCAGATGCTCTGTGCAGAAAAGAGCATCACTGTGGTTTGGGTAAGGCTCATCCGGAGCCAAGAGCTTCGTTAAGAAGCCTTGATGAGCAGCAGGGAGACCCAGCTAATAAATATGCTCTAGGCTGCTGAGAGCACAAGAGCCTGACCACACCAGTGTGGAAAAGGCCAAGGACAAGTAGTTTTGATGGTGCTACGACGCTTCCGAGCTCGGCAGCAGTTTATACCTTTCCTAAGGCTTCTGAGGAAGCCACGTGGAGGTGGAATATTGGGGAGGACCTTCCAATCCATGAAAGGGGTGACAGGAAAGCTGGAGAAGGGCTTGTTACAGGGTCTGCAGTGACAGGACAAGGGGCAATGGCCTGAGACTGCGAGAGGGGAGATTTAGATTAGACATAAGGAAGAAATTCTTCCCCGTGAGGGTGGTGAGGCGCTGGCACAGGCTGCCCAGGGAGGCTGTGGATGCCCCATCCCTGGAGGGTTCAAGGCCAGGTTGGACGGGGCTTGGAGCAACCTGGGCTGGTGGCAGAGAGGTGTCTCTGCCCACAGCAGGGGCTGGAACGAGATCAGCTTCAACATCCTTTGCAACCTCAACCATTCTGTGATTCTATAAGGGAGTTCTGCCTCAAACCTGCCCCAATGTGGCCCGGAAATCGAAATGTTAAACATCTGGCAAGGGAGGGATCATTTCTTAAAATTAGCAGCTGGCTTCTAGGCCCCTCCCTACTTTCTGCTTTGTTAGTAAATCCAGCAGCTTTTATTTATTTCCATAAATAGGGCAAGAGGAGGAAAGTAAGTCAGGCTTTCTCAGGGGCGGGGTTGGAGTGACTCGCAGCCTGTTGTGGTTAAGTAGGATGTGAAGGCAGCGGTACGCAGGCTCTTGGGTTTCTTAGCTTTTAGCACATTTCTCAGGGTGGGCAAAAGAAACGGGAGCATGATTTAGACCCCAGGCAGGGCCTCCGGGATTGAGAATTGAAGCAAAACCGAAAAACCCGCACCCGAGCATCAGGTGGGCGTGTGTGGCAGAACGTGGCAACCCTTTTCCACCCAAATACTGTGGGATTTAGCAGTGGATAGAGCTTTTTCTGAGGTCAAAGCAGCAGCGAACTCCTGAACGCGTAGGCAGGACAAAGATACCTTTCCTTCCAAAGCCTCCACTTCTTCTGGGTGGAGAACTGCCCCTCACCTCCAGAGCCACGTGTCTGGCTGAGGATCTACCTGAACTTGTCGCCTCACGGGAGAGCAGAGCACAGGGAGGTGGATACCTGTTTTTCCTCCATGTCTGTGTCGTATTTCTGGATCCAGTTCACAATTTCCATCTCCACTCTGCGCTTCCTCTGAAACACAAAACCAGAGAGGTTCCTTGCCTACCCAAACCCGGTAAAAAGCAGCCTGAGTTAGAAAACGACGTAGCTTCGAGCTCAAATCGTTCTGTCTGAGTATAACACCTCCTCCTTGTGGCAAAGCTTCCTTCAGCTGACACGTATTTTGTTTGACCTGGTTTGGGGACATTCCCTGATGGTTTACAGCAGGGAGCCGGGGGGCTGAAACGCATCTGAGAGGTGGGTTCCGCGGTAGGAAACGAACGTGTCTGACGGCGTGTGGCAAGGCATTGGCAAACACCCTCAAACAGAAGCAACAGAGAAGGGCTAAACATGAAAAGCGGGACAGAAAGTACTCAAAAGGAGGCGCCTTTTAAAACAAAGAGATGCTTTTAGCTGTAAACGCAGCAAAACCAGGTACGGGCAGTTTATCCCAACCTGTGTTCAGTGGAATCAAGGAAAAAAAAAGCAGGTAGAGCCTGTCGCAAGTGCCGTGTGATTTCCTGTATGACACTGGCCCAGGATGTCCCCAAGGTTCCCAGGCTGCAGCTATTTAGGCCACAAAGACAACCTTGGGCCACGCAGGGCTGGGGCACGCGCTGAGGAGGGGGGGAAGAGATCTCTGTGGTCAGGAAATCGGTCTCCCTGAACTCTAGAAGGAGCTGAACGACTGATCAACCAGTACGACCATGGACCCTTAAAGATGGGTTTATATAAGGCCAGTGTCGCGTTCGCTCTGCTCGACCCCACGCCAAATCCCTTCCCTCAGAAGGTGCGCCTTGCACGGCGCGAAGGCATTCCCAGAGCTGAGGCACAGGCAGGAGGAGGACTCGTGAGCGGGCAGCTTCCACGCTGTCGCAGCAGGGTTGCTTTCCACCCGGATCAGCGGAGCAGGAGGACAGAGCAGGTAGACTCTGACAAGCAGCGTGTGCATCCCGCCAGGAACTAGCGGGAACCGAGTAATTACTCGCAGCAGTCAGATCCGACAGCGCTACCAAAGGTTTTAAACTTCCCGTTCTCGAGAGTCCTGTGTCCAATTCTGGGCACCTCAGTACAAGAGAGATGTCGAGGTGCTGGAGCGGGTGCAGAGGAGGGCAACGAAGCTGGTCAAGGGACTGGAGAATAGATCGTTTGAAGGAGTTAGGTCTGTTTAGTTTGAGGAAGAGGAGGCTGAGGGGAGACCTCATCACTCTCTACAACTCCCTGAAAGGACACTGTGGAGAGGTTGGTGCTGGTCTCTTTTCTCGGGTAATTAGTGACAGAACTAAAGGGAATGGCTTCAAGCTTAAACAAGGCAGGTTTAGACTGGACACTAGGAAGAAGTTCTTCACAGAAGGAGTTGTGGGATATTGGAACAGGCTGCCCAGGGAGGTGGTTGAGTCGCCATCCCTGGACGTGTTTAAGCATCGCTTGGATGTGGTGTTGCGTGATATGGTCTAGGGGTGAACTTGTAAGTAGGGTTAATGGTTGGACACGATGATCCCAAGGGTCTTTTCCAACCTGGATGATTCTGTGATTCTGTGAGCTCCTTTCATTTACCTTTCTGAGAGCCAGCTCTGACGCTCGATGCTCCGCTACAAGTGCACCGAGTTGTGCTTCTAGCTCCTGGATGTCCCGCTGCAGCCCGGCACACCTGGCCTGGGAGTCTCGCCGCGCCTCTTCTTGCCGTTTTTCTCTTTCCTGCTCGATCTGCTGGATGCCAGCTGCGCGATCTTTGGCCAGATCTTGCATGCTGGTTTTGAGGTCTTTGATCGCGTTGTCCTTCTTGTGAATCTAGAGGCAGCAAACAAGAAAGAAACAGCATCGAGAAGTGCCGGTGAGGCGTAAGGCGGGCAGAAGTAAGGCACCTTCGCAAAGGTGGAGGAGATCGAAGAAGACAGCCTGCTCAGCTGGTAGCAACGGGGACCTGCCACTGCTGCCTGAGGGAACAGAGGTAGATTTACGCAGGGTGCTTGGGAAACCTTCCCCCCCTGCTCCTCTGCGAGCCTGTGAATCAAGACAGGAGGAAGAGCCAAAATCAGAGTCGCCGGAGCGAGCCCTGTTTCTCCCTTGAGCTTTGGATCAGGCTCAGAGGGACGGTTTGGGGGCCGCAGCTCAGCGTGCTGCCCGCGAGAGAAATCCTCAGCTGGGACCAGAGAAACAGATTTATTCACGATGCCCCGGACGAGCTGCCAAATTGCACATAAAAATCTCAGATCTCCAAGGAGCGGAGGGAATGGGGAGAGCAGACCCTTGTCTCCGTTAGCACCACTGAGCACAGCGAGCACATGACGAAACCTTCCCCTGCGAGCTCTCTTGCCGGGAGGAGAAAGAAAAGCGTGCGTATGAAACAAAGGATTGCTTGTCAGGAGCTCAGGGGCTTGGATGCTGGCACAGCCCACGGGCAAACAAAAAGAGCCTGGGAAATGCCCGTTTTGTTGATCTGTACCTCAGCTGCCTTCACTGAAAAAATGAATTCATATAACAACCTATTAATCACAAAACGCTCGAAGGCAGCTAGTATTACAGAGCTGGAAGTCACAGAAATGTTGGTCTTAAGCAAGAGGGAGGGCAGAGCAGATATTAAAAACGGGTTTTAATCAGAGCAGCCTCTGCCTGGAATGACTTTTCATCATTTCAGCAGCAGCAACGAAGCCTCGCGCTGGCAGCTGGCATTGTAGCCCTGCCAAAACGCTACCGCAGCAATTTGTGCCTGTCCTGCAGCTCCTTTTTAAACCCAGCGACTTGTGTCATCCAACTTGGCCGCTGAAAAAAGAGGTTCCAAACATGCCGAATTAAAGTTTTTAAAAAAATAAAAAATCGAGCACGCATTTTGCATCGTATTTTGCAATGAAAACAGCATCTTTAAATTTAGGATCTGGTCTGCCAAAACGCTACCGCAGCAATTTGTGCCTGTCCTGCAGCTCCTTTTTAAACCCAGCGACTTGTGTCATCCAACTTGGCCGCTGAAAAAAGAGGTTCCAAACATGCCGAATTAAAGTTTTTAAAAAAATAAAAAATCGAGCACGCATTTTGCATCGTATTTTGCAATGAAAACAGCATCTTTAAATTTAGGATCTGGTTTAGAAATAATTTCTAGAAATTCCTCTTTAGGCACTGTGAGAAAGGGATTGTTTTCTAGCTTCATTTTTTTAGTTTTTAGTTCAGTAACGCTCTGTTGGAAAACATTCCCACAACATCATACCTCCTCCTCTCGAGTCTGGATTGCTGCTGCCAGTTCTGCCTGTAAAGCTGTGAGTGCTTCAGTGTTTTTCTGCACCTGGAGGGAGACGTCTTGCGTGAACCGCATCTTTTCTTCCTTTTCCATGGGACTAGTCAGGAGTCTCTCGAGCATGAAATTCCTGAACTCCGCAAAGGCTTTGATAAACGCTTCAGCTGGTGACTCTTTCACCCAGGCTTTGTATTTCAGAGCCTGGCAAAGCGAAGGGTTGGCCAGTAAGAGTCTCAGGACAGTCCTAAGAGAACGTTTCAGACGTTGCTCTAGCAAGCAGAGACAGCCTCGTTGTTCTTCAGCTCTTCCCATGTCCCCTTCTTTAGAGCTGGCAAGCAGGTGCTCCATTTCATTTGAAAGCTTTCGGTGCTCGATCAGGCTGTCTGTGATCTCAGGTCCCAGCGTCTCAGCAAACCTGTCCAGAGAGCTGATAATACGTGGGATCAAACTGCTCATCTCCAGCTTGGCGAGCGTTTCATCCAGGACACTTACGATTCTCTTTGCCTTGATCCGATCAGGCTTTAACAGACATGGATCTAACATCTTCGTGGCATCTAACAGGATCGCTGCCATCTCTGGAGCTGCCATGCCCTTCACGCCAAGGACTTGTTTCTCTGCTTCACATCCCGATATGGCACCTGGAGCACAGCTGGATCCCCTGTTGCCAGGGCTTCAGTTACACTTGCGAGTTGAGTGGTTTGAGGTCTAGAAAGGACACGGCATCTCTTACACAAGGTGAGACTCGTTCGGAGAACGTCTCTGCTGATTCTCTCACATATTTTTCTTTCTCAGATTTTTATCTCTAAAAAGAAAATCGACATCATGAGAGAAACAATATAGTTTGGGAAAACGGGGCAGTTCCAGATTACACCGGGGTTCTCCCTGGGTCTGGGCACAGTGTTGGGACCTGGGGTTGTACATCCCAGCTCAGCTCTACCCCAGAGAGGCTGGGAGGAGAGAAACTGGAGGCTCCGGGCTTTGAAAGGTGGTGGGGAGAAAGCTGTAGGAGGAGAAGCGTTCAGTGTGGCCAGGGGCCCGCACGTCCCTGGGGCCACCTCGGAGGGAAGCGCAGATGTTTCACCTCCATCCTTCCTGGCCGGGCACTGCGGGAGGGGACGAGGCGGGAGAAGGGATCCGGGTGCCCGGAGGGGCTGCCCCGAGGACAGGGACAACAGGAGGGGGCGGGGGCAGCCCTG